AGTGCCCGTTCAAATGCATTGCTCTCATCTTCACTTCCGCAGAACTTGGAAGTGCCCTAATAAAAGTGTAAGCATTATTCATCATCTTCCAGATTCTCTTATAAGCTGTAATCATCTTAGTCATTTTAGTCATTTTTCCTCCATCCGTGATGTGTCTGTTGTATGCGTTAGGTGCTCAGCCCAACTGAAATAGCTACAACGTGTTTAGTGCGATGTGTTTAGTACAGGAGAAAACCCCAAAGCTACTCAGGCCGTTAATTGCCAAGTCAGGATTTAAACCCACATCTACTCAACACCAAAGCTTTCACCACTTCACTGACACCATTCTGCCTTTCCAGGGAGAAAAATAAAATAGAACTGTCAAATGAAAAAGTTTCAGCTCACTGGTCGGTCAACCCACTGCAAACTTCTGCCTGATTTCTCATCAACCCCAGACTTGAAGGCATGGTCAGTATATGTAATAATGTGTATTTTGCAAATTATTCTATTTGGAATCACCGGAGCATGCTGCTGTATTATGGAAAAGCCTTTCTTTCATTTCGGTGCCTCATAATGCAAGGGGATGTCTCTATACACACACAAAATGTTTGGACGGAGCCTGGATGTACTCTATAAAAAGCTCATGTGTTCTTCAATGCTTTTCCTTGGGGGTAAAAAAACAAAATAACCTTTGGAGGATACCATGCATCTGCTTTTAAAATAGTACACCCTCCAATCAGCTCCCGGTTTCTAAAGTTTGATAAAAATCAAGACCAACACTTGAAACAGACAGAAAAGCAGGGCGAAACCCCTATGACGAGACGGGAGTCAACGGCCGGTGAGAACAGGCTTCAGGGTCTGACATCACGGGCTTCCACCTCTGTCACCAGCCAGTTGTGTGGACTTGAGATGGTATTGTGGCTTTCAGCCTCTTTGTGATAAGGGAAAACCACTGGCCCTCTCGAAGGTAGTAATGAGCAGATGGCAACATCCAGCACTTGATAAATTCACAAACTTAAATTTCACACCCTAAGCCGAGCCCCTAACCTGCAGGACTTAGCTGACTCAGATCAGAAGTGGAGTGGCCTTTGTTTCTCTTTTAGTTACCATGAAGATTTTGTAAGCCCTCGATCTACCTTTTCAATAAAATAAGCTGTTAAAAAAGCTTATGGAATGGGGAGCTGAGGGGCAAACCAATGGTTCCCTAGAGAAAAGGCAGTTTGCTAACACCTTCAACAACACTAAGGTCTACAACAAACCCGGTATTACAAGCTTAGACTCTCCCAAACAAGTCATTTTGGCTAAAGGCATGTGTAATTACAGTAAAAGCCTACCAAAATAACACTTAAGCTGCTGACCTTAAAGATCGTTCTGAAAAGCTCCACCAAAACATTAGCACATGAAGGAGGGACTTGACTTTTTGCCTCCTGCAGACTGCATCGCAGGACAACGCTGCAGACATCCCTCTGCCTTCAAAGGAAAGCACTGATAGACTGTTAGAGCCGAGCGGTCCTCAACACCAGATGGATTCAATCCTGTTTCACGCACCCAAGTTTAACTACTTCAGAACTTCGGTGTCTGGTACTGGTAAAGGGCTAAGAGGTTTAGTTGTGTTGATCCCCACCCAACACTCCAGCTACCAGGTGATTTAGAAATCTCACCATTCAGACAAGAGCATTCATCCAAAGCTCAGAGCATCGGCCAGAACCTTCCCCCCACCACCCCGCAACACACACATACACACACCCACTCTGGGCTTATGTTGCACTCTTTAAGAGAAACATTGAAACATTAATCGAAATGAGTTTTACAACGTTTCTTATGAAAGGAAAGAAGTTCTGCAGAGGGTAGAAAATCACAATTCCTGCCACAGGCACACTGATGACTGACCCACAGGAGGCACTTAAATGTGGATTGGACCATCAGGGATGAGTGAAGTCATCTTAGGCACAAAGCCCCTCTTTGCTGTCAGTGGTCTTTTTAACTCTCAAGTAACTGGAACAAAACTTATGACAGATCACGGTGGGAACGTGTTTTCAGAATTACTTTGGCAAATACATCACAGTCCATTACAACAGCACCAAAGCTATTGGCAAAACATCCCTAAGCATAAGCTTCATTTAAATTTCAATTTGACGGTAGAAAGATACTCTGGTTGTAATATAATATTCTATTTATGTCTTCACCCTTTTCCTTTTTCCACATCTTCCCTGAAGAACTGTGTCAGTGAGCTTTGTTCTTTAGTAACGTCTCACAAACTAACTTCACAGGTTGCCAGAGGATATGGCCAACATGGAAGGGGCAAGGATTAAATGGAAACGGTCTATTTAAATTTAATTCAGCCTTCCAGGGTGTCCATCAGGAAGACTTCAGCCACCTCTCACGTCCAAAATCTGAGAAGGGAGCCTTCGTGGTGAACTCATCGAGAAATCCTTCAAGAACAACTGACTATGTAGTATTATACAGACACTTAGCCTCGTGGAGAGGACAGCCATCACATTAGCCCCAGGCTGAGTTAATTTACTTTGTACAAAGATGTCTGACATCAATGGCAATTTGAGGAGAGGAGAGACGGCAGACTCTAAGACCAGACCAAAAACAAGCTTAAGACAAACTACAAAAAAAAAAAAAAGGTTTTAAAGTTCAGTCTCAAATACGCTTTACTCAGAATGTATGCCACTGGAACGGAAATTACCACCAAGTATAGGGACTCCGGTTATCTTTAAATGTCAGGAATAAAGCCTGCTTGGTATAGTTCAGGGTTTTATTGAACCTGTATTTATCAAACCCACAAACAAGAAAAAGCTCAGCTCTACAGTGTAACATAGCAAGCACAATCCTGCGTCCTGCTTCCTTGGCCTTCCTATGAAGAACTCAAAGCACTATTTTCAGTCTTGTGTTGACAGAAGGCCCAGAAAACCAACCACCACCAGAAATTTTACATTCTAATATATCATACTGTCTGCTTTTGCATTTAGAATCAATGTTAGGTGGTATCTATTAACACAAAGGTGTATTCCACTAGATGTCATTTTAAAAATAAACTATGAACATATATCATTCGTGAATGTGGTATCAAAATCACAGACATGTTCATTTTAAAGACATAACAGGTTACTGTATTAAAGCCTTAATATTTCAGGGTGGCCATAAACTGCAGGAATCAACAAATGCTTTCCTTTTTTTTTCCTTTATGATAGGTGACCAAAGAATGCCAGCACTTCATGAACTGGGGGAAGGTAAATGGGAGTGATTCCAACAAGATGGAGCATCACCCATTACACCAGACTCGTGAGAAAAGCTGGACGATGATTTCCAAAGACAGTGGTCGTGAGGAGTGCTCTTCATGCTTGCGGACCTGAACTCAACTGCTGCTTCTAGCGCTCTCTAAAACCACAGATGCATTCCATGAAAACCAAGCGCCATCACAGATGCCCAAGTGGGACCAGTGGAAATTTGGCATTAAGGCACTGCATTCACTGCAACTTTGCCCAGCACACTGAACCAGGGAAGGACAACACACTTAACAGATCGTGGTTTACAACGGGATATTCAAACCCATTTTTGAAATGCATACTAAACTAGTTTCCACACTTTGTGGTCATCTTATAAACTGACACAGTGAAGCTACCACATGATCTGGAAATTTGACACATAAAAGACTTTTACCAACCTGAGGATGGTTGACACCACCCTGGATGAGCACATCCCAACCCAGGGAGCTTTGCCATCTGTGTGGTTTAGCAACGTGCAAACTAAGGCCGCCAAGGGCTGCACCGAGTTAACTGTTAAATTGCATTTCCCTAGAGTGCAGAGGCTGCAGCTGACTCCTCACTGCATGACACAGAAAAGGTCATATGGGAAAAAGAACTTCCCGTCTCCGATGCTCCATTCCAAGACTTGTGGGAGGAAGGGAAGGATAACCAAGTTGACCACTCACCTTTCTTTATCAGGGAAGCCTGCGGCCCTCACAACCAGCCAGAGAAGTACAAAACATAACCCTGCATCAAGTTATCACCACCTTAACCCAAACCTGGTACCCTCGCCACCAAAGCCAGCCTGGACAAAAGATTAACCTATGATCCTCGACCATGGGTCCAATGGCAGCGCCAACTCTGCTGAAAGAAAGGGCGCCAAGTTTCTGTTTGTTTTAAAGGAAATACTTCCTGGCGCATGTTTGGTAAAGACTCTGAACTCTGTACACGAAGCCACGTGGTTGGTGCTAATCTGGTTCTATCCACTCAGGATCCGCCAAAGCAACCTCTTTCCGAGGGCAGTCCCCGGCTGGATAAACGACACCATCTCGTTCAAGTCACGCGGGCTCCAACCGGATCCCGGAGAGCCCAGCGCCGCGTCGCGTTCTCGTCACAATCCTCCTGCGCGCCGCACAGTCCCCGTAGGGCCAGACTGGGGCGGGGAGGGGAAGAGACTGGGGCCGGCGATGTCTCTTTCGGCTGCAAGAGGAAAGGACTCCCACCTGTGGGGCCCAAACTGGTTCTTGCGGCCCAGGTGAAGTCCGAGGGAGCGGGGTAGAAGGAGACGCCAGCCCTTCCAGGGAAGCCGACGTTGCCACTAGCAGAGTGCGCGGGCACACTACTCAAGAGCCCACCTGTAGCCACAGCAAACAAACTTTCCTCCCCTTCTGAGTCGGAAGAGTCAGGTCCCTTACGCCACCCCCTGGCCCGAGCCAGCAACGGCCAGGAGCTCCGCGGGCTCCTCACCTGATACCCCGAAACCCCCAACTTGGTGTGTCCCCGGGCACAGACCCAGCGCTGCCTCGCGCCACGGTGGGGTGTGCGGAGTAGAAGACGGGGGTGCCAGCCAGGGATTAGGAATTCGTGGGGAGAGGCGAGGACGCCGCTCACTAGTTTTTGCAACTCCAGCTCCCAACTTTGCCAGCCACCCAGCTGCCCTCCAGTCCCCTCCGCGGCGCGCACCCAGCTCCCTCGGCTTCTCCAACGCCTGCCTTGGGGAGAAAGCTCCCCAAAGCCGGCGGAGCCCCGCGCGCCCGCTGCACTTACAGCCGTAGCGGGGTCTCTGCAGGGACGGCTGCTCCTCGTGAGGCATCCT